CACCAATGGACAGGGTCTTATACCCTAATCCTTCTCATCCCAGCCCTAACATTAAACTCTCAAGATGCCATAGAATTCTCTCTTTTATCACAACCCCAAAATACACGTCTTACCTAAAAGACAAGAGCCAGCCATGTCCCTGTCCTTATCAGCATAGGCATTCTCTCTGCCCTTGGAGCTGGCCTTGGGGAGGGGGTGATAGGTACAGCCACACACTTCTACCACCAGCTCTCTGTTGAGCTTTACCAGGAAATAGCAGAAATAACAGCATCTATTCACTCCTTCCAAAATCAGATAGTCGTGCAGCAATCATTCTCCAAAACCGTCCAGCTTTAGATATTCTCACAGCAAAGGAGGAAGGTGCTGTGCAATGCTGGGAGAGGAATGTTGCTACTTTGTAAGTGAATCTGGTATTATCATGGAAAAGGTAAAAAACCTCCACAACTACCTCGCCAAAAACCACCAGCAGCTGGGATACAGCTACTTCTTTGCCATGGTCATGGTGGGATAATGCTTTTAGATCATGGACTCCCTTTCTCCTCCCTTCCTTAGGCCTATTTTTCATGATAGTTGCTCTTCTTCTCATAGCACCTTGCATTTTTTAAACTTCTTTTGAGATTTATTCAGTCCAGGATCTATGATTTCATTGCCAACAAGCTCCTTGTCCTGGCCAAGCCTCCTGGCACCGGTTTTCATATGGGGGTAACCCATTGTTCCATCGTTCCCTAGCACCACGACACCCCTTTCAGCAGGAAGCAGCCTGAGTCATCGCCCCCTATAACCAAAAGATGGGAATGATGGGTTTTCACCCAGACAACATTCTGCCAAGTCGTAATGGTGGTGATCCAACATGGCGTGGCCAAAGCCTGACATCTCTCCCAGACCAACTTTTGCTTCCCTCCCAGGCTGATTACAACTTCCTGTTTCCTTTTGACATAACTGATCAGCATGTATTATGTCACTTAGACTGCCCCCATAAACTCCACCCCCAACCTAGCCCTATGTAGTCTTTGTTTCCCAGCGTCCCTCTTCAGAAGGCCCTTGTGTCTCTTAGCTGCCTTCCCATGCCAGCAATAAAGGCTCTTTTTATTTTGTTTTGTCTCTCACTTGTGCCAAACCTAACAGATTCCTCTTTCAGACTGATTTCCTGTTTCCAGATATGATCACTTCCCTGGTTTCAGTAACTCTTCTCCAAATATCTCCATTGTATCTCCTCTAATCAGCCATGTTGGGTTTCCCTTACATAATTGGATCTTGATTCAAATGTCATTTATGAGACCTTTGAAGTTGGTTTTTTTTTGGAACTGGGAATTGAACTCAGGACCCCACACTTGCCAGGCAGGCACTGTGCTGCTGAGCTATACCCCAGCCCTAAAATTTAAAGTTTTCAATACTGAAATATTTGCTGAGATTAATGAACTTGTATTCATTGTTTATGTGCTAGTGGTATTGTGATTATCTTAAAAATATCCCATAGAAGTACTGAATTATTCTTATATGAAATCATATATGAAAAATGATTCAAAATAACATTGGTGGAAGATAGTAGGTGAAAATTTAGAAGGAAGAGAATGTCTATAAAATCTAATTCTTGAATCTGGATGATGAGTAGGGCTTCATTAGATTATTCTTTTTATTTCTGTACTTATTCAAAGTTGGCATTCCTATTACTGGTTTAACTTTGCCTTCTTGATTCTTACAGGGAGGCTACAAACAGAGCAGGTCACAAGTATATTATCACATTCCAATGTGTAGACTTTTTGAAAACACTGAGTTTCCTGTTAATCTCCCTAAGTGAAATCAATTTTTTTATCCTAAAACAATGTGCTCTGCAACAAAATACACAGGCAATCAGGCACATGCCTCTTTTTTAGTTATATGTTGAATTCTTAAACATGGGTTTTGATCTTTGTACTTTTTCAAAAACGATTTCCTCAAAATCCTAATACGACTGGTATTCCATTTTCATGATGGTTTAGTTTAAATGGATGGTCAAGTTAACACTTTTTATATGCTGCTCTATTAGCTTATGTGGCTGCTTTAACAAAATATTAGATGGGGTAATCTACAAACAATAGAAACTTCTGGAGCGTGGAATGTCTAACACCAAAGCAGCAGCCAATAGTGTCCAGTCACAGGCCACTGTACTTCAGATGGTGACTTCTAGCTGTGTCCTCAGAGGGCAGAAGAGGATAAAAACACACTCCTTTGGGCTTCTTTTTATAAAGCCACTAATCTCATTCATGACCTCCCAAGGGCCCACCTCTTAATATTACTGAATTGCAAATTAGCTTTTCTGACACTTCACTGCACTGTCAACTTGCCTAGCTTGAGAGCCACTAGAGTTAGTAAAGCACACTCTGGGTGTGCCCATGAAGCTACGCGCTTAGGTACTTTACCTGCTCCCTAGCCCCTGTCTGGCAACATTCCCCTGATCTGCTTCTGTGAAGTGAGCAGCAGTCCTCCAGAACTCTTCTGCCATGATGTTTCTGCTTTAGAGCCAGCTGAATATGGAAAGGACCCTTTGAAATCAGGAACCAAATGAACTTTTTAAAATTGTGGATGTCCAGTGTTTTTTCCAGCAATGGGAAAACTAATATAGAAAACTGGTACTGGAGGTGATTAGACATTCGGAAGTCTTTAGAACGGGGCTTGCAGGCAGGCCTGGGATGCTATAGGCAGAACCTGATGGGTGATTGTTTGTAGCTCAGACCAGAATGCTCATAGGAAATGCTGGGCTCATGAGGTTTCAGATAGAAACAAAGATCCTGTTAGAAATGGAATGAGAGGCCAGGCGTGTTACAACTAATTTTCTGTTTTATGCAGGCCCTAAAACTTGGTGTGAGGCTGAGTTTAAGAGAAATGGACTGACTTGGTGGTAGAAATTTCTAGGCAGCCAGATGTTGGCTGTGGCATGAGTACTGCTACTCTTCAGCTCTAGGCATGAAGTGTGAAAATGGGAAGAGCGCTCTAGTAATATTAATTTTCAAATTAAGCATGTTCATTTTCTCCTGGGAAAACATGTCTTTGGTTTATGCCATGCCAGGGCAATATGATCTTTATCATGAACTGTACTGTTACACAGAAGCAGACAGCAGACAGCCCAAATGAGGTACAGTATTTCCTCTGGGGCTTTTGTAATTAGAATTATGGTTGTAAAACATGAGACTCTGTAAAGCTATGATCTATGCACAATAACTACTACCAGTCACCTCTCTTCTCTCCTCAAATCTTGTACAGTAAGGGAAGGAAAGTTGTTATTGCTTGCTCTGTACTATGTAGAACAGACCTTGGTAACAGTTTTATAATTTAATTTGCCTTCTTCCTCTTGACTATTGAAGGATATCATACGCAAAAGTGAAAAATAAGCTTTGTTCTTAAATAATGAAGATTTAGCTCATTAGTGATAAATGAAACAGGTAGGATTGTATACATTTTGATAACTATACTTGCAGACAGATTCGTTCCTGTACCAACGGAACTGGCAATGAAGGAGATGAAGTTTGAGACACAAGTAACATCTTGATGGCTGATGAGTGACATAGATGTGCAGGAAAGTAAAGCCATTCAGCAAGTAGTTTTTGTTTTAAAGAACGGTTTTAAAATCCAATCAAAAGATGAAGAGCAGATAGTTTTTAGTATCATAGTTAAAAAAGGAAAAAGAAAAGTTTCATTCACTTATCCCACAGGAAATAATCACCAGACAGAACAAGACCCCAATCAAACAATACATTAAATAATTCATAAGATTTTTATTGAATACCCAAGGTGTAAGACACTTTCTTTCCCAGAATTTTTGCTCTGCCAGTTTTCATTATTTGGTTGGGGACTCACAATCTGTACATAGTAAAATCATGTATGACAAATGGTTCCTTTTTGTGGTAGTGGAGACTGAACCCAGTACACTGAGCCACATCCACAGCCCATATATTTTTATCTATATTATTTTATAATTAATAAAATATTTATAAAATTTTTTAGACAGGGTCTCTCTAAGTTGGCCAGGCTGGGCTTGAACTTGCAATCCCTGTAGAAAAGGCTACTGAATCAAGAACAACACTTCTCCATGTTGGAGAGGGCATTATTTTCTAAAGGCAGCAGCAAGACACATGCCCACATGTTTTTGTCCTATCATTCTCAGATACCTACTAAGAAAGGAGGACAGGAAGGTACTGTCTATTACAGGGTAGTGAAAATAATGAAGCTACACAGCTGGAGAATCCTGGTTCAGATTCTCAGGTTCTTCCTGGATCTCTAATAACCTGCATCAGGGAATCAGGGTCTCATGTAACCCTGGTAACCCAGCTTATCACCCTGAAGTCAATTTCAAAGACACAAACAGATCTGCTTTGCCGATTTGTTAAACAAAAGATTCTGTATCCCAACCCCAAAGCATCCTGCAAGAGATCACAGTGAAAAGGAAAAATTTTCAGGAAAAAAATCCGCCCATGACAGAAAACATTCCTGTAAGCATTAACAATATAAAATATAGAGTAAAAACAAGCTTTTACTTTATTTTCACTACAAACAAAATTCACCTACTCATGTAAAATAACTTGTTAACTCAGTAAAAAAGGAGTTGAAACAAATATCTACTAAAAAACTATACTACCTGTGCAACGTATTTAGTTTTCCTCATAGTTAACTTCTTAGGCCATCTTAGCCTAAAACACCTGGCTTTTCCTCAAGAAGCTGTTACAAACCCAAGGATTGTGACTGTATGGCTGCCGATGAGCCTCCTTCACACAGAATAAAGATAGAACTTCCTTAAAATGTATCCCTCTGTAATACCATTTTTTTTTTTCAGTCTTTTTGAGACAGGGTCTCGCTATGCAGTCCAGGCTGGCCTGCAGCTCACTTTGCAGCCCAGGCTGGTCTCAAACTCACAATGATCCTCCTGTCTCAGCCTCCCCAGGGCTGGGATTACAGGCGTGCGCCACCAGCATCTGAAGGCTGCTTTCTTAACAGAAAGTGGTTTCAAAAACTTTTACCTGAGTCAGTTTTTATTTTTACAACTTTATTATTTGATTACACTCATTGTAGAAAAATGCACAGATGCAGAGATATGCAAAGAAAATAAAAATTGCCCAGTATCCCTTCCTCAAATATAGTAACAAAAGATTTTGTATATTTCCTTCTACTGTTTTTATACATTTACATGGCATTTTAAAACAAAGCTAGTATTGTAAAATGTTTTACCTTTTAAAAAAATTTTATTATACAGCAGCTATTTCTTTAGGGCATTAAATCTGTGAAAACATGATATTCAGTTGACTGATTCACAATTTAACCATAAATGAAACAATTTACCTCCAACTGTTGGCTATTACAATTGTTTTGAATACTTGCTATTATAATCAATGCTATTAAACACCTTTTTTTATACCTAGTTCTTTCTATGCATTCTGGCACACATTTAAAGAGAAATTTCTATGAGTGATCAACAAAGTGCATACATATTTTTAAGCCTTTTGAGGCATTTTACCAAACTTCCCTTGAGAAAGACTGTACCAATTTACAGTCACACAGATAAAGAGTCCCATTCTTCCTCACATTCCCTGGCAACAGAGCAATTCCTCAGCGTTTATTGCTGTAAATTTAACAGGAGGAAGAGAGGATGTTTTCTGCTTAAATTTTCCCCTAAGATGTAAGATTCCGGCCACACTTGCTGTCCGTTTGCTTCTTCTGTGTTCTCAAGTAGTCCAGGTCTTTCAGGTGGAGTCTCTAGCGTGCACTGTCTTGTCTTTCTTACTATGGTTCTCTTTTGCAGGCAAGGGCATGAAAGCTGCATGTCTTCCTTTTTTTTTTTTTCACCTTTAAATTAGGTAAAATTCTCAAAATGATTAAAATTAGAAAATCTTCTCGGCAGCCATGCTGTTTCAGTGTCTTGGTAGTAAAACTGAAAACTGAGCCATATTCTGAAAGGAAGAGAGTAAATAGAGACGCTGAGCTCTGTAGCAGGGGAGCACGCTAATGACCTGCAAGTGCTTGTTAGAACCCAAATTGAAAACACAACAGAAAACCCCAGATTTTGATTTTGTAGATTACAAGTTAACATCAAAGTCTGCACCTTTCCAAACCAGAGGCTCACATAAAGTGAGCACCTCAATCATTCTAAAATGAACGTAGTGAACGAATGATATACACTTTGGTGATTAGAAGACTAACAATACTACCTAGAATGAGGCACTGTTAGTACAGCTTTCCTTAATGTTCCAGAACAGAGGCTTTCATGCTCACTTTGTCTACAGCAGGAATTCATTTTCTCTAAGTCTGACAATTTGATGAAAGATACATATATAAAAAAGTGCGTATATATAAAAACACATTTTCACACACAATCCAGAGCTTCACAAAGCAACAATTCTACTATCTAAGCACTTTTACATAAGAAATTACCTTTAACTCTTGAGAGACTATGAAAGTGAAAGTGGAAACTTATAAAGATAAAAACCCTTCTCCATCATACCTTCTAGTTGCTTAACTGGCTCTGCAGCAGCAAGATTAAGTCACATTTCCAAAAATCCAAACGTGACTGCTCCATAAACTACAGCTGTGCTGGCCCACTACATTATATTCAGTATACACTGAATGGAACAACTGATAAAATAGAACCTAAAAAAAGCTATCTGTTTGTAGGTTAAACCAACATCTGCTAATCTGCATAATTCATTTTTGTTTCCTTTTTCTTCATAATTAGAATAATAAGGGCTTCCTGTACCTGTTATACTAAAACATGGGGAAAGAGGGTATCATTTATTCATTAAATATCACTTGCATTAAATAACATTTATCTCCTAGGTGCACAGTGTTGGAACCAACAAGTGTTTCCTGGTAGGGAAGACAGACCACGAATTTTAACATTCCTGACTTCCTGAATCCTAAAGGGTGAGACGACTCAGTTACTTGCACCAGCTTGCAAGAGCTACTTCCCAGCTCCTGAATGTCTCCAAGCTGGTAGCCTCAAATTGGTTGTGCTGGAGCATTTATACTACATAACCAGCGAACACTACAAACCAAATCCGCGTAGTGTTTTCACGGCGCTAAAGGCTAGTTCATAGGTGCTAATGCAGATAGGGAGGGCTTCCATCAAGCTTTCAAACGCTCACAAAACCCGAAAGTGTAGGTGTACTCCAGGGAGACTTCAAGATATACCCCTTTTTTGGGTATTAGGAGAAATGATAATTGAACAATTGGAGGCACCATTTTATCAGTGCTGTTAATCAAGAGAGTCACAAAATGTACAAACAAAATCATGCACTTCTAAGCTCAGCAGTCAGTTTAAATTATGTTCTGAGAATTAAGAACGAAGTTGGAAAGCTACCAATACGCAACCTGCCTCCTGCTTATCATTAATTACTTGTTAGTCTGACGCAATACTGACCTTACGCAGATATTCCTTCGCACCATTTTGGTGTTGCTCTGTAAAGAGTTTTGGCTTTAAAAGGCTTGCCAACACTTTGCATGGATCTAACCCAGAAAAGTAGCTTTCACAATGTAAGCCGTGTGGAGAGGAAGAAGGATCACTCCTCTGAGTTAAGACTTTGGGCTTGCCTCCAGAACAGTGTGAAGAATCTGGGGCACCACATAATGAAACTCCCCTCACCTCGGCTTCCAACAGCCTTGCATTACCAGCCAGAAAATACACTGTTCAATTGTATGGTATGGCAGTAAATGACAGAAAATCTTGCTGAAAAAATTCCAGGTCTGTATAAAATCTACGAGCTGGACTAAAGGTGAAGTGTAAGTCAGAGAAAAGGGGGCTGAGGACTGTAAAGTACCTACTTGCACACAGCAAAGGACACTTACCTTCAGGTTGTGCAGGGTTTCGGACCATTCCATGGACCCTACCTGAGGTATGGTAGTGAGCAGTAGACTTTTAGCTTTATTAGCATTTTCTTTCAGAATCTTTAAAACCCGATCAACTGAAACCTAAAGAAATAAGAGCAGAGACTATTACTAGAATTTAAAAGTCCATTGCTGTTTACAGAACATTTTTCTGAGTTCCAACTCTCGTGGTGTGAATGTCTGTGTTCCTGCCAAATGCACGAGTTGAAACCTAACTTTCAGTGTGAGGGTACTCACAGGAGGGACGTCTGCGAAGTGTGTAGGTCATAAAGGCTCAGGGCACTCATGAATGGGATTAGAGGTCGAAGAAAGCTCCTCAACCCCTCCGCCTCTGTGAGAAGATGGCTAGAGGAAATGGGCCTCCTCAGACACTGAATTAGCTCTGGGACTTCCCAGCTTCTAGAACTATGAAAAATAAACTTTTCTCTAGAAGCTGCCCAGCCTATGAGATCTGCTGTTGCAGCAGCCGCATCAGTCTAAAAACTCGACCTAGAAAGTCTTTTTACTACAAAGTTAATCCCACGAGTCCAATCACTGCATTTATCAAGATGGTTTTAGTCTTCAAGAAAAAGTCTTGGAAAAACCCACTGATACCTCTAAGAAGAACCAACAATTTCAGGATGATGTCTGAGAAAATATCTCAGGTCTATTAATGGGTTATCAAAGTCTAGAAATGAAGCTGTCTCTCCAGGTACACAGTACAACGAATTCATCTTAAAATTGTTGCTACCTTAGATAACCAAATAGGCAAATATTTTCTTGCTCTTTTTTTGTATTTTTGCTTCAGAAAAGTATTCTAGCTAATTAAAAAAATCATGGAATCAAAGTATTCCCATTTGTTTTTTGCCTCTCAATGAATTAATGGACTAGCTGCTCATAAAATAATCAACCTATCCACCCCAAAACAAAACAAAATGCCACTAATTATGCCAGGTGCTCCCAGATGGAAAAAAAAAGTATGTATGATAACTGAATTTGTCCAAATCTGTAGATCCAGCTACTAATTCACAGACGACATAGAGGACAGAGAAACCTGTTAAAATACTCTAAAGAGAAGCTTCTAGCAGTTCAGACTGTGGGGAGCTCAACAGTACGAAGGCCTTGCTTTCCTTCTATAAAACTTGCAACATATAATTTATGACATTTAACTAGACACTTGAATTTTGCCCAGGTATATTAAGGAATTTTTGTTAGAATATGGTAATAATAGGGTGATTATGTCAGCTACTTCCTGAACGTTTTCTGGATTAAGTGTATGGATAGGCATATACATGAAATGTGACTGGCTGTAAGTTGATATAATAATGGCTGAGACTGGACGTGGGGACTCACGGGTGCTCACACCATTGTCTACTTTTAGGTGTGACTCAAACTGCTTCATAAGAAAAAGTTGAAAGAAGTTGTGAATATAGAACTGACCATCAGAGACAGAATACTCATGCTTTACTAGGCTAAGCAGAAATCTGAGATTCATGGGTACAATGATTATACCTTTCTATCTCAAGTATAAATCCAGTTTACTCCCACAAAATTTGGGAAAAGTTCAGGAAAAACGTGTGCACAACAGCAGAGGGAAGTTCTCACTTCGGTGGAACACAAAGCAAGGGGCCAGCTGGTACCCAGCAAGGACACAGAAGGGCATGGTTGATGCCGAGTCACTACGTGCTGGGACATGAAGCATCCAGGACATTTACTTTAGTTGTACTCATTTTTAATCACTTCCAGTGAAAAAGAGAGACTCTTCTTCTTTCTTGCTTTGGGTTCCACTTCAAATTTCCTTCCTACTGACCCTGTGATTCACAGTACAATCTCATTCTTTAATCAAAGCCCAGCATACACCTCAAAAGTTATGTTTTTTGCAAACCTTTTCGTGATACAACACCTCTCCCCAACTGTACCATGGCTACCATCCGACGGCCACCCTCCTAACAAGCCAGTATGACGGCTGTTCCACATACATCATCTAGTTTAATTCTCCCAGCAACACTGCGAGGTCACTCACTCCCAACCCTGGCTGCACCCCACAGAGGAGTAAACCGCGCTTAGTGTCACAAGGAAACTGGAGCCATTACAGGTGAAGATGGGTTTAGGCAACTCCAAACCTGCTTGCCACGCCAGCCCATACATTTGGTTTCAAGCACAATGACACACATTGCTGGCTGAGCTGACAGCATCCTTCTATGTCTCCTTTGTGGCATTTAATATATGTCTTCATATTTTACCATGTACAGAGTTTAGTTTCTTTAGTTTTGAATAAAGTAACTTTGCTTTCGAATCTTCACCTGGCCTACTAAAGGACATCACTGCCGCTTCAGCAAAGGAGGCATGTGTTCCCAGACTGAGCAGAAAACCATAGGCAGGATGAGATCTGCTCTCAGGGAGTGGCAGGGGCTGGAGTTTCTATTACCTGGAAACAGCTTCTCAACATCATGACACTGGGCCGTCTCTTAGGTTACAAAGCTGCCAAGCCAGGTATTAGCCAGGATTTGTAAATCTCCTCTGTCACAGTATTTTAATACTTAACAGTTCAGTACCCTGAGGAGTCAGAACAAGCCAGGCATTGATACAAAACAACTTCTGTGCATCTATGCCCCCAAACTGCACAGAGACATACGGACGGTAAGAATATCTCACCTTGTTTTATGTGCAATTAGGTGATGAAACAAGGACTCTCTGAGCTGGTGAAAGGATTTGTTTGGAGAAGATGCCACCTGCCACCTGCCCTAAAGTGCTCAGTCACCTCTAGACTTCTTCCTTCAAAATCCTTTGACCGTAATTTTGCCTCTTTTTTTTTAACATGAGGCAAATCACAGGACAAATCATCTGGTTTCTTCAAGTAAAAGACAAGGAATGAAAGAGAAGGACATGTCCCATTAAAAGACACATCCAAGTATGTCATTAACATACAATACATGGCTTATAAGGGATCCTGATTTGACTGAACTGTGACAAATTATGAGATCAGAAGGAAAATATGAGCAGTCTAGATATCTGATTATAATAAGGAATCACTACGAGTTTGGGGTACAATATGTCACGGCTATGTTCTTTTTTCTTTTTTTTACAATATTTAAAATAGGAGGCTTTTAGAAAACTGTTTACTTTGACATGAAGGCAGGGGAGGGAGATACGGGCAGGGACATGAACATGACACAGGACTGGCCACGGCTGATAACTGTGTAAGGTGGCCAGTGAGTTTCACGGGTATTTACAGTCTTCCACAGTAAAAGTGTTTGTTTTTGCAGTCCGACATCAGGGTTGGGAGAGTCCTCAAAGTGTAGCTGTAGCTTACTGTCTGCCTGCCTAAAAGCCCCTCGTGAGCTGCCTACTGCCCTCACTACCACAGCCAACGGCTCTGCGCACTCTGAATGCCCGCCACGGGCCTCCGCTCACCAGTGCCCTTCTCATCACACCCAAGCCAGGAAGGCTTCTCAGGCTTCGAAGCTTGGTTCGCTCAGTCGGACTGGCACTCCTGTATTTCACCACACTATTTCTTCATAACACGTAGCTTTCGAACACGGGTTTGCTCAAGCTGTTTCTCTCAAAAGAACCAGGACTTGTCTGTTGTCACAGTTCCCGTGCCACGCACAGCACCCTGCCGTGGTAGGCTAGACAGACAGGTAGACACTGGTCTTCTGACCAGAGGGGTGAGAGTTTTTACTTCCTCTAGAAAACAATAAACAGTAGCACAGCCCAACACGAAGAAATTATTATCGAACTATGCTTCCATCCTCGAAGTAAGGCCTCGCTGTGACTCCCAACCCAGCTGCACGGCTACCATCACCACTCTGTATGATTCCTGGATAAAGTGTCATTTTCTTTTTTTAAATCTTCTCATGGGAGCTAGAGAAAACCTTGTAGAAAGCTATTTTCTGAAACTAACACAAAAGAAATAATTAAGACACTCTTAATGACTCTTGGCACTCAGAAACCCATCCCAGACATGCTCAGAAGACAGTTCCACCTACTGCTTCCTCGTGCTCCTTCCAGCAATCGTAATCAGTTGCCATGGCGATGCTTGCATAGCAAATTCCAGCCTCTTTAGCAAGGACCACCTCCGGAACTGTGGTCATGTTGATTACATCTGCTCCCCAGGTGCGGAACATGAGGCTTTCTGCCCTGGAGCTAAAACGAGGTCCCTCAATTGTGAGCATTGTCCCCTTTGCGTGGCAGCGCAGTCCTAGCTTCTTAGAGGTCTCTATGAGGACCTGGAAGGGAAGAACCACAAACTCAAAAACATACAGACATACACACAGTTTAAGGTTTTACCTTCCTGGATATCTAGCAAGTTAGTAACTTCAAGCAGACTTTTCAGTGTAACATCCCTGGAGAAGCCAAAGATCACATTTTCCTAGCCCTTGACTCATTTTACACAAGAGTGTCTCCTCAGCCTCTTACACACATAGTTACAGCTACACGGGCAAGAACGGACCTTTGTGCACTTCATTATGCTTAATTCATTTAAGTTTGCCTGTGAGTTCAAAATTTTGTCTTAGCTCTGGATCTCTCAAGCTAAGCTAAGGTGCCTCTTGCCATGCATATCTCCGACGTGTGCTGAGTTCTACGTACCAAGCTACTAAGAAGTTAAGTTCACTGCTTTTATACCGACTCTGTAGACATTTATATAACTATTCCACGGTGGGAAACAGATTTCTCTTTTGCTTGTTGGTGCTTCAAAGCCACACAGTGAAATGAGAATGGGGCTGTGCTAATTCTTTTTCTGTCCAGGAAAACCTTACCTTGATATTCCTTCAGTAGCAAGGCCATGCACAGTTGTTTTAGAAACATTAACAAGTGTGATCACTTTAGTGTTTTAATTAATAATGCAAGTCAATTTTGAGGTTATTAATTTTTTTCTTAGTCCATGCTTTATCATTATCTTTTAATTAAACAAATTAAGTCTTAACTGAGTGTAGTGGTACACACCTGTAATGCTAGCACTCTAGGAGGCTGAGGCAGGATTTCAAATTCAGGCCCAGCATGGCTGATTTATCAACTTCGAGAAACCTTGTCTCAAAATGAAAAATAAAAAGGGCTGGAGATGTAACTCAGTGCAAAGGCCTTGGGTTCCTCCCCAGTATTGCAGGGGGCAAAAAAAAAAAAACTCAGTTAAATTCTGTATGCCTTAGTTTACCCATCTGTAAAATAGGAATATTGTATATGTCAAAGATATCATAGATAGCATGAGGATTAAATGAGCAAAGGTATACGGTAGGACAGAATTGTGCTGGGAACACTGCAAACACTATATAAATGCTAAACTGATCTAATGATTATTAATACTGGCACCATCTGCACACATTTGCCACATAACTGGCGAAGGTCCCTGGAATAGGAGATTTACAAAATGGAATGACTCAAAATCAAAACAAGACACTCATCTAGGTCAAAACTGCACCTGCAAGTTTTAACTTATAAGCAAGTTAACTGATTTCTTTATAAATAACTCATACTATGCCACGGCAATGGGAAAAACAATTATAGTAGGGGCCTTAACAGCTCCAGATTCAGAACCATGACAAGCAGTAGACGATGAATGGATATTACTGTGATATCATGTTTATCTTATGAATGCTGAAAATAGGATACTGTTCAATCAAAACTTTCTCTAAAGAGCACAGTCATAAATGCAAGAGCCCTCATCCCTATCTCCTCTCCCCGTTTCTTCTAAGTTAGCATTTCACTGAGGATCTTTCAAGTGTGTGTGTCCTGGCTAACCTTCACGGTTGTAGCCACCTGCAAAGAGCACCACTGCGCTGTGCCTGTCAGTCTTGGTCATGGGTCTGGGAGGTGGCCAGCACGCTGCGTGGAACAGGAAGTGGAGGCCTTTGGGTATGGACTGGCTACACTGACGGACTCTGGGGGCCTCACCAAGAAAGCCAACCCTTCATACTCCCAGAAGAACAGATAAAACCAACTACAGGGTCAAACGCCAGTTCTAAGGGTAAGATGAGTTCATTTTCTTGTCTAATATAATCATAATGGAACTACTGAAACCACCACAATCCTCACAAGCGGCAATACAGTATTAGATCACCAGGCTAAATATAATGTGTGAGGAATCAGTTTATCTCTTAAAATGACTAGAAGTGACACCATTCTCAAAACATGCAATACATACAACGAGTACAAAAGAATGTTATTTTGAAATATTTCTTTCACTCTGTCCTAGGACTCTCTCCAAGGTAAACCACTGTTCCAAGTGTTTGGTTTAGCTTTCTAGAGAAACTTTGTCTGTATATAAATATTCATAATCCATCTTTTAATATATATACAGACTTTAACACAAATGATAGGCTATGGTAAAAAGCAGTGTACTTGCTTGCCACGTGACAATGACATTACGACAATCCTTCTTTAAGAATGGATAAATGCATGAAAGATCACATTGTGCTGAAAGTGACTGATAATTGCTAAGTGGCAGAACCATCCACTGTTTACATTAAAATCTCTCTTAGAATATTTAAGAAAAATGGAACACTTTGAAGGTGTACTTTTTCATTTTCTTCAACTGCTTTCCCCAATATCCTCTCAATCTTTATGTGGAGATTATTAATTATTATTTGAATTACTTTGGTTTGAAGGGAGGCTAAGTTGTATTACTAGAAACTACCATCCTGGTGTCCAGTGACATGTGCTTTATACAGACTGTTAGCATTTCCTACTCTAGGCCTAGTTCTCTAAGTCACTACTTTCTGCCTGGTACCAGATCTTATATTTCAAACTAACACACATATTACATTTATTCCTTAGACTGTTTCTTCCCAAGCTGCCCCCATATAGAAATGGACAAAAAATTTATTCACACTTCACTTTGTCCTGGATAGGTCCTTGTTTCAAAGATAAGACTAGCATCATTCTGCTATCTTCTGCTGGTAACCACCCCAAAACACACACTATACACACAAATACAGACTGCACTCATCACTTTTTTTTTTCCCCATCGGTTTTTTGTGACAGGGTCTCCCTATCTAGTTCAGGCTGGCTGTGAACTCGTGGGGATCCTTAGCCTCCTGAGTGCTAGGATTACAGGTGAGCACCCCCATGTTTAGCTTCACCCGTACTTTTGAAAAACCAGTAAAAAATGTACTTTCACATACATCACAGAGAAACAATGTGCAGTGACACATCTGAAATGCTTACCTCTCGCACCCCCAACTTTGGAGTCTATTTCTTTGACACCAGAGTAAAACTTGAAGTGTCCTTGTTACTAGCTATAATGAAACTGGTTCCCCAGCATTACGTAGGACATGAAAGCCACAAGAAATCGCCAACTTTCTGTATGTGCCTATTAAATTACCTGAATGACTGACACGTTCAGGTAGGTGCATTCTTGCAAGTTAAATAACAAGGAAGATTTTACTAGGAAGTTTGATTCTGACAATACTTTTGATCTTTTGGGTTGTACTTGACTTTCAATCTCAGACTGTAAAGAAAGCAGCATAAGTGGACCAAGCAATAGACCTCTGAGTTGTGGCAGACATTATGTATTCCCCAGGAGTTCAGGCCGAGACGCTTCGGCTTACATGGTACCACCACTGGCCCTTGTCCAGCTGCCACTGTACTTCTGACACAGTGCTGGAGAAAATGCAGGGTGGTAATGGACATACTCAGCCCGAAGCAGAAGATGCCAATCTGACCACATTTAGATGAATAATAATAATTTAATTCATAAAAGCAGTTACTAGACATTAGATGTTCTGTTACTGACAGGCGTGACTCAAGTTCCTTCGCAGGACCTCTTTTACTCCTCACTAGGCCTAGGAGGTGCATGCTACCATTACTTTCATTTTACCAGTGAGGTAGTTGAAGTGCAGAGATGCTAAATAACTTGCTCAATTATACCCAGCTATTAAGCTGAAGAGAACAGAACCGATCACAAGTAATCTGGCTCCAGAAGGTCCACTCTTTACTATATCCAACACCAAAGTATGTGAAAGGGATCCTGACAGCAAAATTGAAACTTATTAAAAAAAAAAAAAAAAAGGTAGGTTACAACTCTGAAGCATTATTGGCAGAGGGAAACAACTGTTCATAAAATTTTGCATAAATAAGTAAATTTGAGGGAGTAAGAGGGATCACTTGCTTGGCCACGTGATCTAACTGCTCATGTCATTCCAAGTCCTTATGATCTAGTATACCTTTCAGAAAGACTACGAACCTCTCTTGTTTTGGGGCAAAATGGCTCAGCCATTGGAATGTGGCACACTCCTCTGGCACAGGAATGACTTCCATCATAGAAGGTCTGAGGCCTGTTGGTGGTCCTACAGAAAAATAAAGTGAAAGATTTTTGTTTTTTTTTAAAACGGCAACATCTCTATCTTTCAAGGGCTGGTGAATCAACTGTACCTGGGTTAACATCTCGGTCTCCACTGCAGAATTAATAGCTCTAGATAAGACGAAGGCAATTGTTAATAAAGCAGCTTCACACGGCATCCAGCTCTTTTCTGGACGTAGGCTGGTGGCAATGTGCTATGCAGGAATTAGAGTGTGAACGCCTGGGATTGTAGATACACCTAGATCATGGCCTCGGGGAGACCAGGTAACCACTTGAGAAGTCAGTATGAAAAGATTTCATCATCACGATAAGAAGATCACAGGATAAACACCACATATCCACTGCTCAGATTTATCAGCTTCCAAAATTTTACCTTGCTTCGTTGCTTTTTCATGGTTGCAAATCTCAGGCTTTAGCTCAGATCATATCCAAATTTCCCTGATGTCTTAAAAACATTTTTTTAAAATGACAGTTGCTTTGTTAGTTTCAGAATTCAGACAAGGTCATTACATTTGACGGTCCTGTCTCTAGGAGTATTTTCTACACCGAATTCCAGTGAGACTTTTCTGGGTTACCGACCCAAAAAGGAAAGCAGGCATTTGTTCTGTCCCATTTGAGAATCTGCCTCTGCCACATAGCTTGTTCCTCTCCCAGCTGAAATTAATTCTCAAGTCTCTTAGTTCAAGCTTTTGGGCAAAACATTTTTGAATCAGCAAAAGAGAAGCTAAAATTAACCCAGTGCCAGAAATTTCTTGTTAGAAGTTTCCAGAACAAAGTACTTTGTATGTCCATGATTTTTTTCTAAACTAGAACTCATGAATAACTAAGGAAAGACAATCTCTAACTCTCCCACAGAGGCAAGGGATAAGGAGGGACAGGACAAAGAAAAGCCAACAAGAGAAGGTACAAAATCTGATGTCCTTTTCCAGGATGCAAGTGTGGGGGACAGTATCAATAAATCATTTTATGGGTCCCATTATGCAGCTGATATACGTATTAACCAAAATTAACCTATCACTTTTAGATCACTATGTACTAAGTAGTGACAGCAGCTGGCACCAAAGCTACCTCGCCTGGAGATGAGGTATTGGTGCTCTGGAAGAACAAGAACCAGTTCCTGCTCCTAACTGTCACACTTGTCTCAAGGGAAAGGCCAAATTAACCCCCAAGGAAATCCAGATGCGGATAAAGAAAAGACTAAATGCCTGCTCCAGCTTGTATCAACAGAGGTTTCCTCCAGCAGACTGGCCAACAAAATGGTGCCACATTCTTATTTCCAGCTCCCACTTGTTTTATTTTTTTTGGTTTTTCTCTGGTACCGGGAACCGAACTCGCGACCTTGCGCTTGCCAGGCAGGCGCTTTGCCGCTGAGCTAAATCCCCAGCCCCGGCTCCCACTTGCTTTCAGCCTTCAAGGAGTCAAGTATTCACTGTGTCCCCACTTACATGCATGATTATGAAAGCGTCACCGTGGAAATGTCCAGTGGCTACTTCCCAACAGGGGTCCCTGTAGCAACACGCCATCCTGTCTTTCTGTCTGCCTCGCTTGTCTTCCCCCACCATTTTCCTTTATTACTCTTCCATTTGTTTTGAACTTTTTACCTTAAGGCACAGCACATATTACATTATGCTTTATATTATATTACACACACACGATCCTTGTTGACTACAGTCTTATTTCCCTCTTTCAAGTGGAACATTTTACACTTTTCTCTTTAAACAAAGGTCCCTAATTTCCAGGTATACGGCTTAGAGAAAATTGCTCATCATTTTGATTTTCCACTTAGAAGGATGGTGAACCAAGAAGTCTAGACAATCCAAGTCAGCAGATGAGAAGCGAGATCTGGGCTACAGACAAATGGGAGTGCGGAGTTGGAGAATACGCTTTAAAAATCAATGTCTGTAATGTTCTAGGGCTATCCTGTCAGGGTACTGGAAGGGAAGGGCAGATAAGAAACCCACCTTCCCAGTCTGCCCATCTCTTCGTGGAGCTTCACATCATTAGGCATCAGTACACCTAGCAAACTGTTTCATGATCAAAATTTAAATCCCATAAATGGAAATATAAAGACACTGTTCATAATGAATGAAATTATGACCAAGAACAACAGATTTCCAACCAAGCTGAGTACGGCGGACAACACCCCCAAAAGCAATTCTGAATGAAACATGTCATTTTAACAGTACTTGTCCCCTTCTGGGGGACTTTGTCAGAGAAATGAGAGCACCCTGGTCAGAGGCTAGCAAAAACCAGCCAGGCACACTTCTTGAGTAGGCTCTGCTAGCTACGCCTGCAAGCTCATTTCCCATTTCCAGGGAAAACAGTCTTCTGCACTCCCCGTTACTGCTCAACCTTGTGTTATTTTCTGAGCGACATGGAAAAAAAACTAAGAAATGGAGCTCTGTCCACAGATTTGAATTTTATCCCTGAGTGTGTTTGGGCAATCAAATTTTTCATCTACAAGGTATGAATAACACTCTCATTGCTGTGGTCTGAAAGTCTGTAATGGCCAAAGGAACTCCTTGGCTTCCAGTTCAATGGAATCATTGTGCTTTCTGGTAGAAGCCTTCCCTCCTCTGGTGCTAAGACCTCTAGGCTAAAAGACCTTAAGGTCACAAGAACAGTAAGCAAAAATTTTGTCAGTGGGTCACTAGGGGTAATGTTGAGTGGTACCACTCCCATTTCCACCCTTATTCCTGGACCCGCGAGTCCTGGGTGTAGGTGAAACAGAACCAGGTACTGAACTGTATCAGTCACCTTCTGATGTGAGGAAAAAATACCTCAAATCCACAAATGAAAGAAGAGGTTTATTTTGGCTCACAGGCTTAGCAAGTTCAGTCCAGGATGGGAAGGCTCAAAGGCACAGACGCTACGGTGGAGAAAAGCTGTCTGCCCACGGTGGCTAGGAAGCCGGGAAGAGGGAGCAGGTGGGGACGGGAACACAGCTTTTCGGGGCTCTCTCCCAGTGACACACCTCCAGCCAGCCCCACCTCCTAACACATATTCACTGCTGACCTCATCAACAGATGAGTTCTCTGATGGGTCCAGTGCTGCTATGCTCCAACCTTCAAAACATATGAGGTTTTGGGGAAACATTTTAGATCTAAACCGTAACTTTCTGCCCCCGGTCCCCACAAGACTGTTATCCATCTCACTTGCAAACTGCACTTAGTCTGTCTCTAAGAGTTACCAAAGTCTGCACACTTCCAGCATTGCTGAAAAGTCCAAGTCCAAAGTCTTCTGAGAGATTCAAGGAGCCCCGATAAAAATCAGAAAGTTAAATCTTCAACACACAATGGCATAGGGTACACATTCTCATTCCCAAAGGGAGGAATACAAAGAAAGAGCAAGCTTGAAATCGAGTGAAAATCAGCAAACATCAAAGCCTGTAGCTCCATGTCTAGCACTTTGGCCAGACTGCAGCAGACGTGAGCTCCACAGGGCTTGGGCAGCCCGGCCTTGACAGCCTTGCTTGTTACAGTTCTTATGACCTCTTGCGCTCACTCTGCTCACTGCCTGTGACTTTCCTCAGCAAATGATAAATATTCCCGGGATCTCCAATTTCCTAAGTCTACACTGCATTTTCAGCTTCATGCATGGTCCTCACAGAGGCACACTGCCTGGCCTCCCAGGCCATCCTCTGAAATCTGGGTAGAAACCTTTATGAGCCCACAACTCATGTGTAATGTACCTCGTTGGTATCTCGTTGTACCCCGGAAAGAAACGGCGGTGGGTATGAGAAAAATAAAGACAAGGGACAAGAGCTGGGGTCAGGTGGAGTTACCTCGTGCCTGATGAGCAGGAGGACTGACTTCAACAGCCGGGGCGCTTATTTTATACACTTGCAAAGTTAGTATCATGGGGGGGTAATGCTGCCCAGGGACTAACGACTGTAATTGTCTGGCAGGATGCCTTTTCAATACTGAGGTAGCTTGACTGCTTGACCAATAACCAGCTCCAGTGGCTCCCAACAGTCATGCATTCTGCATGCCTTGAAAGTGAGCAAGCGCCACACAGATGACGCTGGCACCTGCCACCAGCTCAAGCAGCGGCCAGCGCTCTCGGAAGCCCGGCACAGAGGCATCTGAGTCCCTGGAGGGCTGAACGCAGTGCAGTGAACCAGAGCTACTTTCTTAGGGGGCTCTTTTTGAGCAGGTGTAATGAAAGGCTTACAGTTTTGCACCCTTGAACTTGTAATGGGTTAGGTCTTGCCTTTTGTTCCTCTACAAAGTATTCATTTTATTTTTAATGATAATCTTTTGAGAAACCATCCTCTCATTTGCACCAACTTGCAGGCAATTCCTTTCTGGCAAAACTGCAAACTTTTTATATCTTTGGCTCTGTCTTTCGCTTGCGATTCTCACTGTAGATCTGGCTAAAAGCAGCCAGTACCCATGCCACAGGTTAAATGTTAGCCTGGAAATTTCCTCCAGCAGATTAATTAGCACACCAACCTAATTTCAGTCTCCTGCACTGTCTCAGGACATGGGCAAACTAGACACGTTTTCTGCTAAAGTGTAACACATAGGGAATCTAGTCCAGTTTCTAAAGAGTCCTCATTCACATCTGAAACCTCCTAAGCCTACGCTTTTCTGTCTGTATTCTTATTAGAGTTCTTGTTCAGCCAGAATCTCTCATTAATCTTTGCTTACAGCATGCTAAGATGCCTCTACCCAGCATCTCCAAACCTTTCAAAACTCTCACAAAATAGTTCTAAAGGCTTCTAAACCACATGCTCAGGTACAACCATAGTACGAGCCCCACTCTCAGTACCAATTTTCTGTATCAGTCACCTTCCTGTTGCTGGAACAAATATCCAACAACTACAGTTTAAAGGAGAAGAGGGTTATTTTCGCTCACAGGTTCGGTGGGTTCAACGCATGGTCAGCACGTTCCAAAGCGGAAACCTTGAAGGAAGGGCCTGGTGGAAAACTTATCTACCTTACGGTGGCAAGAAAGCAGAGACAGACAAAAGGAAAGAACAAG